ACTACATCCTCTGGCAGCAAAAATCACATTTTAACTATCCTGTGTGTAAAGTAGTATTTCCTTTTACGTAGTATATCCTTTTGTCTATCCTGAACCTACTGCCCATCAGCTTCATTGGATAATCTTGAGTTCTAGTGTTTCGGGAGAGGGAGAAACATTTCTCTTTGTGAACTCTCTCCACCTCATGCATAATTGTATAAATCATTATCGTGTGTCCGTCCCCCTTAGTCATCTCTTTTCCAAATTGAAAAGTTCCAGATTCTTCAGCCCTTTCTTATAGGGAAGGTGCTCCAACCCCCTAATAATCTTGGTTGCCCTCCTCAGTACTTTTCCCAGCTCTGCAGTGTCCTTTTTAAGATACGGGGACCGGAACTGTATGCAGTATTCCAAATGAGCCCGCACCATAGATCTATACATGGGCATTACAATATTGGCCGTTTTATTCTCAATCTCTTTCCTAATAATCCCTAACATAGAGATTGCCTTTTTCACAGCTGCAGCACACTGGGATGATATACCTACTATGTGTATGTAAAGTGCTATCAAGTCACAGCTGTCTTATGGTGACTTGTAGGGGAATTTCAGGGGTCCAGGCCTCTCCCTTGGATCCTCAACCCCATTAAGATTATTTTCTGTGGGTGGGTAGAGTCTGGCCAGGGAACTCTGGCCTCTGGAGGGAGAGAAACACAGAGAGAATAGTAAAAAGCCCAGCAGCACCTTTAAGACTACTACTACTACTACTACTACCTTTTGATTTATTGATTGCTCAATCCGGCAGAGCTGCTGGCTCTGAGCGATTTACAGTTACACGGTTTCACACAAGGGACTAACAATTACATAGGGGTAAGGGAGGACAACATATAATTCTTTAAATCGCACACATTTTGCAGCCGACGGGGATTTTTTGTTCAGCTGTAGGCTTCAGACGTGTTCTGGAGGCATTCACTTTTCGGCTTGGCTTGATGCCGTTGGTTCTTCCTGGGCTGCTTTGAATCATAGCGCCGCACTGCCACCGCCTGGCCAGATTGGCCCATTACAGGCTTCTTAATGCCGAAGAGGTCTTTTTATCAGGCTTCTGAGCTTACGAGCTAGACATTCCATTCGCCGGCTAACACCTCCCCTACGGGGAGCATAAGCTTTCGAGATACACAGCTCTCTTCGTCATATGCATGGAGGGTATAAAGAAACTGGCCAGAGATATATAGGTGGTAAGGGGGGGGGGATGCAGAACGTGCCATGTGAATGCGAAATAGTTGCAAAAGTCATGGAAAAGGTAGAAGCCACAGTCCAGGCTGAGTGTGACCCCTTCTGTTGATGAGAGAACAGTTGCTTTTAACTTTAAAGGTATTTATTAACTCTAAAACCATATACAAGTTTAAGCGAGCTGGTAACTGTTCTTTGTGTCAAATATCGTTGTAATTGTGTGGTTAAAAAAATGAATTAAAAACAAACTACAAAACACTGCGTTAAAAAGGCAGTCTTAATATATTCTGTAAGCCAATATTACTTCTCATAAAATGTAATCGCTTGGTTATAGATTATAAATTTTAACTTTTTGAGGATATAATATGTAATCTAAACAACTAGTCTACTGACATAAAGAAACAATGTGTAACATAAAAAGAGAGAGTAAAACTTAATAGCATATATTCAATATCAGTACCCAACAGCATATAGAAAATCCCAGTACCTGATATAGTATATACTTCAGAAAGAACAAGGAGTATTCCTGGACTGTGGACCAAGCCCTCACGCAAGCCTAGGCAGGGTGCTGGCCAAACAGCCTTGAGCAAAGCCTCCTTTTTATACTCTTTTCAGCCAATCGGAATCAAGGTTGGAGTCAATTAAAAATGTACCAGACTTGCCAAATAACAGCCCATCCTCAGCTGACAAGACGAACTTTTACTAGTATGAACTTTTGCCCAGATATATTTTATTATCTGCAATGTCAAGAAGACCTAGACAGATATGTTCAGGCTTTGGAGCCTGGCACTTGGAAGGCCGGGGAATGTGAACTCAGGCAAAGGTACATCTACAGGGCAAGGCTTTAGTTTTTACGCCTAGGCTGCCAGCAAAAGAACAAAGGCTTATGGGACTTCAGAACCAAGAAACAGAAGTCAGCTATAGCCAATTCTACATAGCACAGAAACACAGAAAGGCCCAGGCTCATTGAACCTCAAATTCTGCCACACAACCCCACAGGGTTTTCAAGGCAAGAGACAAATAGAAGTGGTTTGCCATTGCCTGCCTCTGCGTGGCAACCTTAGACTTCCTTGGTGGCCTTCCATCCAAGGACTAACCAGGCCCAACCCTGCTTGGCTTTGGAGATCTGATGAGAATGGGTGAGCCTCGGTCATCCAGGTCAGGGGAGTATACCTCCTACTGATTTTAAAAAAACAAAAGGAGGCCAAAGCCCCGAATGTGGTAGTGCGGGGAAAAGGCGCTGGACGAGGGTGGGGAGCTTTGGAAACCTACGACTTCCCGTCCAAACTGTTGGGAAGCCCACTTTGATTCTGATGTCCCTGGAAACATCAGAGCAAACCAGGAGAAACCCCAGGAGGTGATGGAAGGAGCACGGCTGGAAGACAAGGTCGTGTAGACATTCCAAAAGACTTTGCTTTGCGAGCCTGTGGGACAAATCCTCAGCACCGAAGCAGCCTCTGTCTACTTATAAATCTGAATCTGTGCATTGGATACGTAGTGCTGTGGTTAGAGTGCTGAGCTGGGATCTGGCAGACCCAGGTGGGATTTTCCTCAGTCTGCCGTGGAAATTCGTTGGGTGACCTTGGGCCAGTCACTCTCAACCTAACCGACCGTGCAGGGATGTTGTTGTGAGGAATAAAACGTAGGCGCCCACCCTCCTCCTCCACCACCACCACAAAAGGGTGGTGCCTGTCCTCTTTGCCCTGTGTGTGACGGCAGGGCACAAAGTTGGCACCTTGTGGAAGTGTGGCAGGAAGCCACTGCCCGCCTTCACACCACGTCCCACCATAATGAGGCAAGGGAAGTAGGAAGAAGGCCAGGGAAGCACCGGGGTGGGCAGGAAGGGTTGCATCAGTGCTTGGTTCTCATGGCCCCCATTCTGACACGCCCAGGGAAATGCCGGTCGCCATTCCTGGAGGGTTTTTTTTGTCATCTGGCCATGGAACAGGGGTCACTGGGGGTATGTGGGGAGGGGGAGGTATTTGTGAATTTCCTGCATTGTGCAGGGGGTTGGACTAGTTGGCCCTGGAGGTCCCTTCCAACTCTATGATTCGACCCTGCTGTGCACTCATTGGGCTTGGGATGCTTCCCAGGGATGCTGCTTGCCCCACGTGGGAGCCAGAGGTCTGGCTGCCACCCTCTGGAGGTCCCTTCCAACTCTATGATTTGACCCTGCTGTCCACTCATTGGGCTTGGGATGCTTCCCCGGGATGCTGCTTGCCGGAGCCAGAGGTCTGGCTGCCACCCCGGAAGTCAAGGTAAACAGAGAAGAAGAAGAAGAGTTTGGATTTATACCCCACCCTGCACTCAGAGTCTCAGAGCAGCTTACAATCTCCCTCCCCACCCCACAACAGACACCCTGTGAGGTAGGTGGGGCTGAGAGAGCTCTTTCCAGAACGGTCCTTGAGAGAACACTTCTGACAGAACTACGGCTTATTTATTTATTTTATTTTTTTATTTCACTTTTACCCCGCCCTCCCCACCAGGCAGGCTCAGGGCGGCTTCCAAAAACTGACAAGCAGTATACATTCACAATAAAATATAAATACAAGGCATCAGTTAAAACACAACCAATCAATCAGCTGCAAGTGGAGTGGGGAATCAAACCCAGTTCTCCCAGATTAGAGTCTGCACACTTAACCACTACACCAAACTGGCTCACCTAGTGTATGGGCAGGTCCTGCTGGCCAAGAATCCCACAACCGAATTATTCCTTAAGTAAAGTAAGATCTTCCTTTTATCCAGCCCGAATCTATTGCCCATCAACTTCACAGGATGCTCCCATGTTCTAGTATTATGTAGGGTTATCAAGTGCCCTCTTTTTAGAGGACATGTCCTCTTATTTTAGTGCCCATGCTCTTTTTAAAACACGGATGAATGTGTCCTCTTTCTTTTGGGGTTGGAAAGTTAGGAATATTCCTAAATAGGAGCAATGATCACAGATTAAATAGGGTATTTAAAATGAGTTTTGTGATACTGATCACTTGTTTGGCCATTCAGCAAACGTGTCCTCTTTTTTGTTTTTTAAAATATGGTAACTCTAGTATTAGGGGGGGAAAGGTTCTCTCTATCCACTTTCTCTCCCCCATGCGTAAGTTTATTAACCTCTCTCATACTTCCCTTCCCCACGTCGTCTTTTTGTCCAGACTGAAAACAAAACTAATAACGGGGAGGGTGGGAACCCCAGACTCTGCAGTGGTGGAGCCAAATCCACGCCATTTATTTCAAGCAGACACGCAACAAACAATCCTGTGCATATCTACTCTGAAGTAAGTGCCACGACTTTCGATGGTGCTTACTCCCGGGTGAGCGAGCACAGAATTGCACCTTTACTCTCAAGTAAAAAGGAGGTGTGGGGGGGGGGGAGAGAAGGAAAGCTTTAAACGTCCCTGCCGGGTTCTCTAGAAAGCCGGCCCATATAGTTCAGGACTGGCTATCAGCCAAACCCTTCTCCATGGGGACCTCGGCGCCCACTCGGCTCCCTCCGTCCACCCCCGCAGTTTCCTATGGTATCTCCCACTAGGTCGGAGGTGGCGGCGGAAAAGAACCGGGGAAGCGACATGGAAGCTTGGGCGGTACCATCGCGCGTAGTGACGACGGGGGTGGTGGGGGGAGGGAAGAGAGAAAGTGGGAAGAGAACGAGAGAGGAGGAAGTGAGCGAGTCGAGCTGCGCGCGGTGTTTCGGTCGCCTGTTTTTTTGGTCGCCGTCCAAGGCCGGGGCTGAGCGAGCGGCTGACTGACGGGGCGGAGGCCACGCCCCCTTTCCTGTCCTCCTCCGGCTGGGCGTTGGGATTGCCTGGCTCGGCTCGGCCTTCTCCTTCCTTCCTCCTCCTCCTCCTCGCGAGCAGCCGCCTTCCCGCAGGGAATCGGAGGTAGGTGCAACACTGTCTCCTCAGGCGGCAGTAGGCCCGGAGGCGGCGGCTTTTTGCCAGGGCAAGGCCCCTTTTCCCGCCCTTTTTAGTTCTCCGGGGCGGAGGGGAAGAAGGGCCACGCAGGGAGGGGGGGAAGGGAAGTGTCCCTGCGTGCCGG